CAGAGGACACAAATGGGACGGGGAGGCAGCGCGTTGGGGGGGGGACGCGACACAGCTCGGGCCCGCCAGTGCCCCAACGGGGTCCTAGTTATTATTTTTCCTCCCCTTTGAACTGGAAAATGGCCCACTTCCCACTGGCAAAAACTCATGAAATTTGGCAGGACGACCGGGCCTGGTGAAAAATTTGATATTCCGAAGTCGCCCAAACAAGAAAATGCAAAATGGCTCCATAGCGCCCCCTAAGGTGAAAATTCACACTATTGACTGTCACGCCTGTACGCTTTGTCAAAATGACACAAAAATTGACACACACATGTATCTCAATAAGATCTACAAAAAAGTCAGTGCGGGCGTATCTGTCAAATGTACGGTTAAAGGGTTATTTCGCATTTTTTGCCGATCCGCACACATTGGAATTTCACTAACTCCTCCGAAGGCTTTCGTTCCACCGGCACCACATTTGCTCAGGCCAATCTACACCCCATGGCCATTAAAAGTTATTCAAATCATGACGCTGCACCCCACGGTTTAGGTTCTAGGGGGCGCCAAAGATAACCCTAAGATCCACATATTTAAAAGTCTTATAACTTTTTATTTTTGCCCTCACTGGCCTCCAAGTTTTCTAGGATGATGCAATGTCCAGCCATCAACACATTTGTGAAGGAATTTTTACTCCCCAAAAGAGCGCCCCCCCATGGCAGGAGAAAAAAGTCCATTTTTTCTTGTCCCCTAAGGTGAAAATACACATTGTTGAGTGTAACACCTGTACGCTTTGGCAAAATGACACAAAAATTGACACACACATGTATCTCAATAAGATCTACGAAAAAGTCAATGCGCGCGTATCTGTCAAATGTACGGTTAAAGGGTTATTCCGCATTTTTTGCCGATCCGCACACATTGGAATTTCGCTAACTCCTCCGAAGGCTTTCATTCCACCGGCACCACATTTGCTCAGGCCAATCTACACCCCATGGCCATTAAAAGTTATTCAAATCATGACGCTGCATCCCACGGTTTAGGTTCTAGGGGGCGCCAAAGATAACCCTAAAATCCACATATTTCAAAGTCTTATAACTTTTTATTTTTGTCCTCACTGGCCTCCAAGTTTTCTAGGATGATGCAATGTCCAGCCATCAACACATTTGTGAAGGAATTTTTACTCCCCAAAAGAGCGCCCCCCCATGGCAGGAAGAAAAAATGTAATTTTTTCTTGTCCCCTAAGGTGGAAATTCACACTATTGACTGTCACGCCTGTACGCTTTATCATATTGACACAAAAATTGACACACATATGTATCTCAATAAGATCTACAAAAAAGTCAATTCGTGCGTATCTGTCAAATGTACGGTTAAAGGGCTATTTTGCATTTTTTGCCGATTCGCACACATTGGAATGTGGCTAACTCCTCCTAAGGCTTTCGTCCCACTGACACCAAATTTGCTCAGGCCAATCTACACCCCATGGCCATTCAAAGTTGTAAAAATCATGACGCTGCACCCCACGGTTTACGTTCTAGGGGGCGCCAAAGATGACCCAAAAATCCACATTCTTAAAAGAATCCACATCCCCCCCCCTATGGCAGGAGAAAAAGTCAAGTTTTTCCTGCCCATCGCTCAATGGCTCAATCGCATCGCTCTCCAGGCAACACCGTAAGGAGGAGCAACCTGGCATTTCGATATATCATAGCTGTGTTTGTGCCCTCACTCATGGTCCAGACTTTTTTCAAATAGGACATGAAGTTTGTCTGCAGCGAGTGTTTTGGTAGAAACTGCGCCTCCCATTCATTATAATGGGAAATGACCACAGACAAGTGCGCACACCATCTTTGGTTCTTGAGTGTGACTCGATCGGGACGGGGAGGCGGTCGCACTGGGGGCGGCGCGACGCGGCTCGGGCCCGACAGTGCCCCACTGGGGCCCTAGTTCTTTCTTTCTTTCTTCTTTTTCCTCCCCTTTGAACTGGAAAATGGCCCACTTCCCACTGGCGAAAACTCATGAAATTTGGCAGGACGACCGGGCCTGGTGAAAAATTCGATATTCTGAAGTCGCCCAAACAATAAAATGCAAAATGGCTCCATAGCGCCCCCTAAGGCGGAAATTCACACTATTGACTGTCACGCCTGTACGCTTTGTCATATTGACACAAAAATTGACACACATATGTATCTCAATAAGATCTACAAAAAAGTCAGTGCGGCCGTATCTGTCAAAATTACGGTTAAAGGGTTATTTCGCATTTTTTGCCGATCCGCACACATTGGAATTTCGCTAACTCCTCCGAAGGCTTTCGTTCCACCGGCACCACATTTGCTCAGGCCAATCTACACCCCGTGGCCATTAAAAGTTATCAAAATCATGACGCTGCACCCCAAGGTTTAGGTTCTAGGGGGCGCCAAAGATAACACTAAAATCCACATATTTAAAAGTCTTATAACTTTTTATTTTTGTCCTCACTGGCCTCCAAGTTTTCTAGGATGATGCAATGTCCAGCCATCAACACATTTGTGAAGGAATTTTTACTCCCCAAAAGAGCGCCCCCCCATGGCAGGAGAAAAAAGTCCATTTTTTCTTGTCCCCTAAGGTGAAAATACACATTGTTGAGTGTCACGCCTATACGCTTTGTCAAAATGACACAAAAATTGACACACACATGTAACTCAATAAGATCTACGAAAAAGTCAATGCGTGCGTATCTGTCAAATGTACGGTTAAAGGGTTATTCCGCATTTTTTGCCGATCCGCACACATTGGAATGTGGCTAACTCCTCCTAAGGCTTTCGTTCCACTGGCACCACATTTGCTCAGGCCAATCTACACCCCATGGCCATTAAAAGTTATCAAAATCATGACGCTGCACCCCACGGTTTAGGTTCTAGGGGGCGCCAAAGATAACCCTAAAATCCACATATTTAAAAGTCTTATAACTTTTTATTTTTGTCCTCACTGGCCTCCAAGTTTTCTAGGATGATGCAATGTCCAGCCATCAACACATTTGTGAAGGAATTTTTACTCCCCAAAAGAGCGCCCCCCCATGGCAGGAGAAAAAAGTCCATTTTTTCTTGTCCCTTAAGGTGAAAATACATATTGTTGAGATTCACGCCTATACGCTTTGTCATATTGACACAAAATTTGACAATCACGTGCCTTGCCTGGTATCATTTTTTTCAGCACAACCTCACCTGTGCGAATTTACAGTTATTTTATCATGTTGACATACTGAATTTACACAATGGACCCAAATTCACACACAAAACATAAAATCCGAGTGGAAAAAAGTAACATTTTTACTGTGAAAACCACAAATATGTGTGATGAACTGTTTTTAAAACTTAAACTTCAAATAAAAATTGTAAACTTCAAAACATATGCAAATTTTTAACAAAGAACATAGTGATTTACCTCTATTTACATCAAAATGCAGGCAATGGCCCAGGCGTTCTTTGTAAAATTATTTACAAAACACTGTATAGTCTCACAAATGTCACTTTTTATTTATGCCACTACAAAAAACATGATGTAAATGATGCATGATGTAAAACATGATGTAAAAAACTTGTGTAGATCCTCCTCTATGTCAGTCCATGTGTAATTTTTCCACAATTCTTTGTTTTTTGCAGCATTTTTGTTAGTGTAACTGCAGATTGTGCTGACAGTGTCTATGGCACAAAAAAAAAAAAAAATTAAAATGCCTCAACATGAACCCCTGGTGGTCTCTGAGGGTGAAACCTGCTAACTGCTGCAGCTCTGTCAGCTTCAGTCTCCCATGCAGAGCTCTGAGCGCATGTGTGGCTCTGCACCCTTAGCAGCGTTGCTAACTCCTCAGTAAGGAAAGCCTGCTTCATGTCAGAGTCTCTAAACTCCAGAAGAAGTCAATGAAAGTCCCTTTCTTTCTAAAAAAAAGTCGTTAGGGGGTCTGAAAAGTCATTGAATCTAACAACAAAGTCGCTAGGTTTGCAACTACGTGTCCCAGACTGCATCCCTGCTGAGAGTCCCTCCCTCCCTTCTCATGTTGCAGGAAGAACGTAAGAGCCGCCCCTTGTCAATCAGTCACCATATAATTTTGGATTGGTTGTTGTGGTGAAGTTTTCCACCAATAGGAGAGATGTTGTGGTGTGTTTTTTTTTTCTTTTGGCAAGCCTTTTCCGCCTGTAAGACCTGTCGCTAATGTCTGCATGCTATGTTTTCCTGTCTCATACAGCGCGATCGAGCGCCGAACGTGATCAAAATAAGCAGAAAAAAAGTATCGCGGACATAATTTATCATAACTCTGGTTTTATTTGGCCTATCAACACAATTTAAAAACTGGTATATAGGTTGAGGTCCTCACTTTTGAGATAAGTTGAAACGGAGAGTCAACGAGGCTCCGTCTTGCAGCTACATCCGGTTAAATATGTCATGTGACTTGAACGCACACACACACACGCACACACACACACACACTCAGAGTCTGGTTTTTAGCACCTGCAAAAACATGCTATTTACATATTTGACAAGAATGCAGAGGCTCCTTTTGCCCCTGAAAAAAATCAAATTTCAAACACAATTTGACTGGTCATTTCTCCAAAAGACAACCATGAAGCTCCATCCAAACCTGAAGCAGGCAGTTGGTGCATGTGTACAGTAACCTGAGGGGAGTGAGGTGAGTGCTTCTGAGGAGAACATGAGCAGTGAAGATTCACCTTGGAGCTAGAACAGAGACATGCACATGATTATACAGGGGCAGGGGCTCAAGTTTTTTCCAGTCGTTTATACAATATGGAAATTAATGTGAAATTAAAACACAAAGTATTAATAGAAAGGTAATGACTGTCCTGTGTAGGTGACAGTGATATCCAATAGGCTAGGCACTCACGAGGCTGGCTGTGGCAAGTGTAAGTGAAAGCAACACGCACTGGCAGGAAGAACAGCAAACGCTGATGAAGGAAAAGGGTTTTTGCAGTGATGGGCGTTACCAGAGAGGGCGATGGCCAGAGGACACAAATGGGACGGGGAGGCAGCACGTTGGGGGGGGGGGGACGCGACACGGCTCGGGCCCGCCAGTGCCCCAACGGGGTCCTAGTTAGGGCCCGAGCGTAGCTGCTAAGCAGCTGCGAGAGCCCTCTTGTTCCTGATGGATTCTTCTTTCGTTATTTTTCCTCCGCTTTAAACTGGAAAATGGCCCACTTCCCACTGGCGAAAACTCAGGAAATTTGGCAGGACGACCGGGCCTGGTGAAAAATTTGATATTCTGAAGTCGTCCAAACAAAAAAATGAAAAATGGCTCCATAGCGCCCCCTATGGTGAAAACTCACCTGATGCCTGTACGCTTTGTCAAAATGACACAAAATTTGACACACATGTGTATCTCAATAAGATCTACGAAAAAGTCAGTGCGGGCGTATCTGTCAAATGTACGGTTAAAGGGCTATTTCGCTTTTTTTGCCGATCCGCACACATTGGAATTTCGCTAACTCCTCCGAAGGCTTTCGTTCCACCGGCACCAAATTTGCTCAGGCCAATCTACACCCCATGGCCATTAAAAGTTGTACAAATCATGATGCTGCACCCCACGGTTTACTTTCTAGGGGGCGCCGAAGATAACACAAAAATCCACATTCTTAAAAGTCTTATAACTTTTTATTTTTGTCCTCACTGGCCTCCAAGTTTTCTAGGATGATGCAATGTCCAGCCATCAACACATTTGTGAAGGAATTTTTACTCCCCAAAAGAGCGCCCCCCCATGGCAGGAGAAAAAAGTCCATTTTTTCTTGTCTCCTAAGGTAAAAATACACATTGTTGAGTGTCACGCCTATACACTTTGTCATATTGACACACAATTTGACAATCACGTGTATCTCAATAAGATCTACAAAAAAGTCAATAGGCACGTATCTGTCAAATGTATGGTTAAAGGGCTATTTCGCATTTTTTGCCGATTCGCACACATTGGAATGTGGCTATCTCCTCCTAAGGCTTTCGTCCCACCGATACCAAATTTGCTCAGGGCAATCTACACCCCATGGCCATTCAAAGTTGTAAAAATCATGACGCTGCACCCCACGGTTTACGTTCTAGGGGGCGCCAAAGATGACCCAAAAATCCACATTCTTAAAAGTCATTTTGGCCACTGCAGGAGTACAGAGTACTGCAGTTCTAGGGGGCGCCAAAGATGACCCAAAAATCCACATTCTTAAAAGTCTTTTTGGCCACTGCAGGAGTACAGAGTACTGCCGGACACACACACATATACACACACGCCAACACACACACACACACACACACACACACACACACACACACACACACACACACACACACACACACTCAGAGTCTGTTTTTTAGCACCAGCAAAAACATGCTGTTTACATATTTGACAAGAATGCAGAGGCTTCCTTTTGCCCCTGAAAAAAATCAAATTTCAAACACAACTTGACTGTTAATTTCTCCAAAAGACAACCATGAAGCTCCATCCAAACCTGAAGCAGATAGTTGGTGCATGTGTACAGTAACCTGAGGGGAGTGAGGTGACTACTTCTGAGGAGAACATGAGCAGTGAAGATTCACCTTGGAGCTAGAACAGGGACGTGCACATGATTATACAGGGGCAGGGGCTCAAGTTTTTTCCAGTCATTTATACAAATATGGAAATTAATGTGAAATTAAACCACAAATATGTGTGATGAACTGTTTTTAAAACTTAAACTTCAAATAAAAATTGTAAACTTCAAAACATATGCAAATTTTTAACAAAGAACATAGTAATTTACCTCTATTTACATCAAAATGCAGGCAATGGCCCAGGCGTTCTTTGTAAAATTATTTACAAAACACTGTATAGTCTCACAAATGTCACTTTTTATTTATGCCACTACAAAAAAACATGATGTAAATGATGCATGATGTAAAACATGATGTAAAAAACTTGTGTAGATCCTCCTCTATGTCAGTCCATGTGTAATTTTTCCATAATTCTTTGTTTTTTGCAGCATTTTTGTTAGTGTAACTGCAGATTGTGCTGACAGTGTCTATGGCAAAAAAAAAAAAAAACTGAAAATGCCTCAACATGAACTCCTGGTGGTCTCTGAGGGTGAAACCTGCTAACTGCTGCAGCTCTCTCAGCTCTAGTCTCCCATGCAGAGCTCGGAGCGCATGTGTGGCTCTGCACCCTTAGCAGCGTTGCTAACTCCTCAGTAAGGAAAGCCTGCTTCATGTCAGAGTCTCTAAACTCCAGAGGAAGTCGATAAAATTCCCTTTCTTTCTAAAAAAAAGTCGTTAGGGGGTCTGAAAAGTCATTGAATCTAACAACAAAGTCGCTAGGTTTGCAACTATGTTTCCCAGACTGCATCCCTGCTGAGAGTTCCTCCCTCCCTTCTCATATTGCAGGAAGAACGTAAGCGCCCGCCCCTTGTCAATCAGTCACCATATAATTTTGGATTGGTTGTTGTGGTGAAGTTTTCCACCAATAGGAGAGATGTTGTGGTGTGTTTTTTTTTTCTTTTGGCATGCCTTTTCCGCCTGTAAGAGCTGTCGCTAATGTCTGCATGCTATGTTTTCCTGTCTCATACAGCGTGATCGAGCGCCGAACGTGATCAAAATAAGCAGAAAAAAAGTATCGCGGACATAATTTATCATAACTCTGGTTTTATTTGGCCTATCAACACAATTTAAAAACTGGTATATAGTTTGAGGTCCTCACTTTTGAGATAAGTTGAAACGGAGGGTGAACGAGGCTCCGTCTTGCAGCTACATCCGGTTAAATATGTCATGTGACTTGAACGCTGGGGAGCGTCAATCGACTGCAGAGCCAGCAGACAAAGTAGTTATGCCACTGAGAGGCACACATTTGTCATATGCTATAATCCTAACATATTTTAATGCTTTTTCTATTTAAACCTAATGGATCTAAGGTTTGACCTTCAAAATTTAGGAAGAATATTTTTTTGCAGTAATGACCCCCTTAAACAACCAGAGGTCCTTTCCTAAAGTTTATGGAAATTTAAGTGAAGGCCTTGGTTTCTTTCCTTGCAAAATGTATAGAAATAATAAAGCTAAATACCATAAAATGGTCTTGGCGTATTAGCAGTGATATAAAATAGTGGTTTGAATATGAATGAACAACAAAAAAAAACATCAACAGAGCCTTTTTGAGTTGGGATTCTTTCATTATCACACAAAAACAGACATAGACAGACATCTAAAGGGTAAGGGAATGATCAGCCCTCCTAACTCTCAGATGAATCTTCAAAATTCACCGCAGAAATATGCTTATTATTCTTCTCAGAGTACTGCAAGATATATACACACACACAGACACAGACACACACACACACACACACACACACACACACACACACACACACACACACACACACTCAGAGTCTGGTTTTTAGCACCTGCAAAAACATGCTATTTACATATTTGTCAAGAATGCAGAGGCTCCTTTTGCCCCTGAAAAAAATCAAATTTCAAACACAACTTGACTGCTCATTTCTCCAAAAGACAACCATGAAGCTCCATCCAAACCTGAAGCAGGCAGTTGGTGCATGTGTACAGTAACCTGAGGGGAGTGAGGTGAGTGCTTCTGAGGAGAACATGAGCAGTGAAGATTCACCTTGGAGCTAGAACAGGGACGTGCACATGATTATACAGGGGCAGGGGCTCAAGTTTTTTCCAGTCATTTATACAATATGGAAATTAATGTGAAATTAAAAAACAAAGTATTAATAGAAAGGTAATGACTGTCCTGTGTAGATGATAGTGATATCCAATAGGCTAGGCACTCACGAGGCTGGCTGTGGCAAGTGTAAGTGAAAGCAACACGCACTGGCAGGAAGAACAGCAAACGCCGATGAAGGAAAAGGGTCTTTGCAGTGATGGGCGTTACCAGAGAGGACGATGGCCAGAGGACGCGAATGGGACGGGGAGGCAGCGCGTTGGGGGGGGCAGCGCGACACGGCTCGGGCCCGCCAGTGCCCCAACGGGGCCCTAGTTTCTTCTTTTTCCTCCCCTTTGAACTGGAAAATGGCCCACTTCCCACTGGCGAAAACTCAGGAAATTTGGCAGGACGACCGGGCCTGGTGAAAAATTCGATATTCTGAAGTCGCCCAAACAATAAAATGCAAAATGGCTCCATAGCGCCCCCTAAGGTGGAAATTCACACTATTGACTGTCACGCCTGTACGCTTTGTCATATTGACACAAAAATTGACACACATATGTATCTCAATAAGATCTACAAAAAAGTCAGTGCGGCCGTATCTGTCAAAATTACGGTTAAAGGGTTATTTCGCATTTTTTGCCGATCCGCACACATTGGAATTTCGCTAACTCCTCCGAAGGCTTTCGTTCCACCGGCACCACATTTGCTCAGGCCAATCTACACCCCGTGGCCATTAAAAGTTATCAAAATCATGACGCTGCACCCCAAGGTTTAGGTTCTAGGGGGCGCCAAAGATAACACTAAAATCCACATATTTAAAAGTCTTATAACTTTTTATTTTTGTCCTCACTGGCCTCCAAGTTTTCTAGGATGATGCAATGTCCAGCCATCAACACATTTGTGAAGGAATTTTTACTCCCCAAAAGAGCGCCCCCCCATGGCAGGAGAAAAAAGTCCATTTTTTCTTGTCCCCTAAGGTGAAAATACACATTGTTGAGTGTCACGCCTATACGCTTTGTCAAAATGACACAAAAATTGACACACACATGTAACTCAATAAGATCTACGAAAAAGTCAATGCGTGCGTATCTGTCAAATGTACGGTTAAAGGGTTATTGCGCATTTTTTGCCGATCCGCATACATTGGAATGTGGCTAACTCCTCCTAAGGCTTTCGTTCCACCGGCACCACATTTGCTCAGGCCAATCTACACCCCATGGCCATTAAAAGTTATTCAAATCATGACGCTGCACCCCACGGTTTAGGTTCTAGGGGGCGCCAAAGATAACCCTAAAATCCACATATTTAAAAGTCTTATAACTTTTTATTTTTGTCCTCACTGGCCTCCAAGTTTTCTAGGATGATGCAATGTCCAGCCATCAACACATTTGTGAAGGAATTTTTACTCCCCAAAAGAGCGCCCCCCCATGGCAGGAGAAAAAAGTCCATTTTTTCTTGTCCCCTAAGGTGAAAATACATATTGTTGAGATTCACGCCTATACGCTTTGTCATATTGACACAAAATTTGACAATCACGTGCCTTGCCTGGTATCATTTTTTTCAGCACAACCTCACCTGTGCGAATTTACAGTTATTTTATCATGTTGACATACTGAATTTACACAATGGACCCAAATTCACACACAAAACATAAAATCCGAGTGGAAAAAAGTAACATTTTTACTGTGAAAACCACAAATATGTGTGATGAACTGTTTTTAAAACTTAAACTTCAAATAAAAATTGTAAACTTCAAAACATATGCAAATTTTTAACAAAGAACATAGTGATTTACCTCTATTTACATCAAAATGCAGGCAATGGCCCAGGCGTTCTTTGTAAAATTATTTACAAAACACTGTATAGTCTCACAAATGTCACTTTTTATGTATGCCACTACAAAAAAACATGATGTAAATGATGCATGATGTAAAACATGATGTAAAAAACTTGTGTAGATCCTCCTCTATGTCAGTCCATGTGTAATTTTTCCATAATTCTTTGTTTTTTGCAGCATTTTTGTTAGTGTAACTGCAGATTGTGCTGACAGTGTCTATGGCACAAAAAAAAAAAAAAATTAAAATGCCTCAACATGAACCCCTGGTGGTCTCTGAGGGTGAAACCTGCTAACTGCTGCAGCTCTGTCAGCTTCAGTCTCCCATGCAGAGCTCTGAGCGCATGTGTGGCTCTGCACCCTTAGCAGCGTTGCTAACTCCTCAGTAAGGAAAGCCTGCTTCATGTCAGAGTCTCTAAACTCCAGAAGAAGTCGATAAAAGTCCCTTTCTTTCTAAAAAAAAGTCGTTAGGGGGTCTGAAAAGTCATTGAATCTAACAACAAAGTCGCTAGGTTTGCAACTACGTGTCCCAGACTGCATCCCTGCTGAGAGTCCCTCCCTCCCTTCTCATGTTGCAGGAAGAACGTAAGCGCCCGCCCCTTGTCAATCAGTCACCATATAATTTTGGATTGGTTGTTGTGGTGAAGTTTTCCACCAATAGGAGAGATGTTGTGGTGTGTTTTTTTTTTCTTTTGGCAAGCCTTTTCCGCCTGTAAGACCTGTCGCTAATGTCTGCATGCTATGTTTTCCTGTCTCATACAGCGCGATCGAGCGCCGAACGTGACCAAAATAAGCAGAAAAAAAGTATCGCGGACATAATTTATCATAACTCTGGTTTTATTTGGCCTATCAACACAATTTAAAAACTGGTATATAGGTTGAGGTCCTCACTTTTGAGATAAGTTGAAACGGAGAGTCAACGAGGCTCCGTCTTGCAGCTACATCCGGTTAAATATGTCATGTGACTTGAACGCACACACAGACACACACACACGCACACACGCACACACACACACACACACACTCAGAGTCTGGTTTTTAGCACCTGCAAAAACATGCTATTTACATATTTGACAAGAATGCAGAGGCTTCTTTTGCCCCTGAAAAAAATCAAATTTCAAACACAACTTGACTGGTCATTTCTCCAAAAGACAACCATGAAGCTCCATCCAAACCTGAAGCAGGCAGTTGGTGCATGTGTACAGTAACCTGAGGGGAGTGAGGTGAGTGCTTCTGAGGAGAACATGAGCAGTGAAGATTCACCTTGGAGCTAGAACAGAGACATGCACATGATTATACAGGGGCAGGGGCTCAAGTTTTTTCCAGTCGTTTATACAATATGGAAATTAATGTGAAATTAAAACACAAAGTATTAATAGAAAGGTAATGACTGTCCTGTGTAGGTGACAGTGATATCCAATAGGCTAGGCACTCACGAGGCTGGCTGTGGCAAGTGTAAGTGAAAGCAACACGCACTGGCAGGAAGAACAGCAAACGCCGATGAAGGAAAAGGGTCTTTGCAGTGATGGGCGTTACCAGAGAGGGCGATGGCCAGAGGACACAAATGGGACGGGGAGGCAGCACGTTGGGGGGGGGGGACGCGACACGGCTCGGGCCCGCCAGTGCCCCAACGGGGTCCTAGTTAGGGCCCGAGCGTAGCTGCTAAGCAGCTGCGAGAGCCCTATTATTCCCCAAGGGGTTTTTCTTTGTTTCTTTTTTCTTTTTCCTCCCCTTTGAACTGGAAAATGGCCCACTTCCCACTGGCGAAAACTCATGAAATTTGGCAGGACGACCGGGCCTGGTGAAAAATTTGATATTCCGAAGTCGCCCAAACAAGAAAATGCAAAATGGCTCCATAGCGCCCCCTAAGGTGAAAATTCACACTATTGAGTGTCACGCCTGTACGCTTTGTCAAAATGACACAAAATTTGACACACACATGTATCTCAATAACATCTACAAAAAAGTCAGTGCGGGCGTATCTGTCAAATGTACGGTTAAAGGGTTATTTCGCATTTTTTGCCGATCCGCACACATTGGAATTTCGCTAACTCCTTTGAAGGCTTTCGTTCCACCGGCACCACATTTGCTCAGGCCAATCTACACCCCATGGCCATTAAAAGTTATTCAAATCATGACGCTGCACCCCACGGTTTAGGTTCTAGGGGGCGCCAAAGATAACCCTAAAATCCACATATTTAAAAGTCTTATAACTTTTTATTTTTGCCCTCACTGGCCTCCAAGTTTTCTAGGATGATGCAATGTCCAGCCATCAACACATTTGTGAAGGAATTTTTACTCCCCAAAAGAGCGCCCCCCATGGCAGGAGAAAAAAGTCCATTTTTTCTTGTCCCCTAAGGTGAAAATACACATTGTTGAGTGTCACGCCTGTACGCTTTGTCAAAATGACACAAAAATTGACACACACATGTATCTCAATAAGATCTACAAAAAAGTCCATGCGCGCGTATCTGTCAAATGTACGGTTAAAGGGTTATTCCGCATTTTTTGCCGATTCGCACACATTGGAATTTCGCTAACTCCTCCGAAGGCTTTCGTTCCACCGGCACCACATTTGCTCAGGCCAATCTACACCCCATGGCCATTAAAAGTTATTCAAATCATGACGCTGCACCCCACGGTTTACGTTCTAGGGGGCGCCAAAGATAACCCAAAAATCCACATTTTTAAAAGTCTTATAACTTTTTATTTTTGTCCTCACTGGCCTCCAAGTTTTCTAGGATGATGCAATGTCCAGCCATCAACACATTTGTGAAGGAATTTTTACTCCCTAAAAGAGCGCCCCCCCATGGCAGGAGAAAAAAGTCCATTTTTTCTTGTCCCCTAAGGTGAAAATACACATTGTTGACTGTCACGCCTGTACGCTTTGGCAAAATGACACAAAAATTGACAATCATGTGTATCTCAATTAGATCTACGAAAAAGTCAAAGAGCGCGTATCTGTATAATGTACGGTAAAAGGGCTATTTTGCATTTTTTGCCGATTCGCACACATTGGAATTTCGCTAACTCCTCCTAAGGCTTTCGTCCCACTGACACCAAATTTGCTCAGGCCAATCTACACTCCATGGCCATTCAAAGTTGTAAAAATCATGACGCTGCACCCCACGGTTTACGTTTTAGGGGGCGCCAAAGATGACCCAAATATACATTACAGTAGACAAAGTAGTTTTGCCCACTGAGTGGCGCCAAAGGGACTTGTCTGTGGAGTCTGTGAGTCACTATTGGCCGTTTTTGACTACTTTAGATTTTACCTTTATATTTCCTCTTACAAAATTTTTACCTTGCCTTGCCTGGTATCATTTTTTTCAGCACAACCTCACCTGTGTCAATTTACAGTTATTTTATCATTTTGACATACTATATTTACACATT